TTTGTTGGCAGGAAGAAGAAGCAAAGAGAAAATGGGTTATGCGATGTTGATGGGGATAGGCGTCGCCGCTGGTGCGGCTATATTAATTTTAGTGATTCTTGGGGTATGGTATTGTCTCCTGAAAAAGTGAAATGTGATTTTGAATCGTAATATTGTAATGGATTAAAGATAACCAGCTTATATTTTCTTCTTTAATAGTATATATTTTCTATAGATTTACTAATGAGAATGTTTATTTTCAATAAGAGTTCTTATTAAAAGTAATATAAAAGAGTATGAAAATGTATGTGCCGACAAGAAATTATTTATTAATATGATTGTTGCTAAATAATCCATTATCAACATTTTAGGATGCTGCACCTCCTCCAAAGAAGGCGATAGGTCTAAAATTTATCCTGAGTTATATAAAAAAAAACATTTTAGTATGCTTAAATGCGTACTAGAGTTGGCTTCATTTTTGGAGTGGTTTAGAAAGGGGAACAATTAGTAATATTTTGACATGTAATTACTCTTCACTAATTGGATATATATTTTTTTTTGTCTAAAATTGATCCAAAGTAAATCATACAAATATATGAATGGTGAAATAAAAAAATGGATGGGTATGACTTTGATCTGATCTGAATGACATATACAACTATTGAAGGCCTAAGTTTTCACTACTCAAATCCACCATATGAACTAACATCTTTTGTTTTCTCGAACGGAAAACAACCGGTAAAAACCTAGACGGTTTAATCGAATAATTGGCCAAAACTAGTGGCCGTTAGTTAGTTAGTTACCGGCGTATGCGTTCAGCCCGTGAGAGATAATTTCTCAAATGGTCTGGTCGGAAGTTTACGAGTAGTCTTTTTTTCCACCCGTTTTTTTTAGCTTTCTCAGTATCCGAATCTGTTATACCTTCTCTGGCGACAATTTGTCTCTATAGATTCCTGCCAAACAGAAAAAACAATCAGCCTTTCATGAACATTAGACACTCACTGAATCAGGTGAAGTCTTCGGGATTGGTTATCACATACATGTAAACGATTGAATATGGATTAGAGTACACGATTGGGATGTCACATAATACTGATGTGTTAACATGAATACCTCAACGAATAAAGGTCCCATAATAACTAATCTCGAGTTGTAATTTTATTAAACAAAGCCATCTCAAAACCAAAATTTTTTGCAAAACAGAACATGAATATATGTATTATACGAAAACCTCACGTCTTATAAAGAATTGCTCATAATCAGGGGCGGAGGCAGTGAGACAAAGGGTGGGGCACTTGCCCACCATGAATTTTTTAAAACTAGTGTAATTCTTTAAGAATTTTTCAAAATGTCCCTCTTGATATATCATTTTATGGTGTTTTTTTGATAACTTTTTACCTTTGCCCCGGATGAAAATAAGTTCTACATCCGCCACTGCTCATAATGATGGCATTGGTTTATGCTCACGTAATATAAAGAAAAATAAAATATATCCAAAGTGAATTCTAAATAATTGGAGAATATATTATTTGGATAATGTAGAAATGTATATATTTTATCAAAAAAAGAAGTAGAAATATATATTACTTTATATAGAAAAGAAGTTAGTACAAATCCATATCAATCTATGACAATCAATAATAATCTATAAGAATATTTCATAAGAATCAATGATAATCAATAAAAAAT